TGTATATATAGCGTATAAGAAAGGCGAAAGGCTAAGCTGTGAATCAAAAGCGAAGAAACTTGATTTTTCGAAATCTCTATCTGATGTCTCTGTCTCTGTAAGTATGTACTTAACGCGCTCGCACACATCTTAACGCCTTGCTTACCGGCCGGTAAATACGTTTGTCACTTGGTTCGCATCCAAGTCGCAAAACTCGCACCTGCAAGAAGATCTCGAATGTATTTATTAATTATATCACGTCGACGTAATTGAAGAGAAAAATCGCGGCGAAATTATTGCGCGTCTATAAGTGTTAAAAGTTAGCAGTAAATGGCTAGAAGTAGAAATACGTCGTGGAAGCTTAGAAATAATATAATAATAACGATTGTTTCAGGCTTAAATATTCCGCAACTGTAGATACTGGTCGATAAAGTGCAATATTAAGGGGGTGCCATAAAACTTTACCGACAAAGTACTGGCTTTTTTCTGCAAGGTTTACGTCATAATGCTTGCGCGAAATTACAAATGCTTTTACGCAATGAAAGTTTGTGCAGAAATTAATTGAAGCGTTGCTTGATATGTGACGAAAGCGATAAAAAAAATTTCAAAATCGACATCTCGAGTTTATATATAGTATAAATATTTGCCTGATGCAAAAAGTTTTGTAGCTTGCACATGCCGAACGTGTATTTATAGCGCTCAGAAAAATCTGGGAAAAAACATTGCTGTAACTTTACAAGTAAATTTAGAATGAGAGAAAGAGAAGGGAAGTGAAAGAAAGAAAAGAGAGAGAGAGAGAAGTTTGAAAATACACGAAAACTGTATAGAAAGATCGCATTACTGCTTACTTGATACGTCATTTTGACGTTTGCCTGTACGTCAGTGACATTTTTAGTGTCCGTCATTCACTTTGGCATCCCCTTAACTACGTATGTATAATTTTTCTTAAATATAGAGGCCGATCGATTCTGACCGAAATACGTGATCGAAGACATCCTTGTCAATGTGCGAATTTTCGTTATCGCTCCGTATTCTTTGAAGAAATAGTATCGCTGTGTTATGAAAAGTGGTAGTTATAAGGCGAAGAGCGCAATCGCGCTCGGTCACGAGCAATCGAGGATATTTCCCCGATGCCGCGTCAAATATTATATTAAATATGAAAACCTGGACGGTAATGAAGACGTTAAGAGGGGAACCAATGAAATCCGAATTCAAACTATCGATATGCCTGTGTCTGTATATCTCTACTCTCGTTGTGTCGTAAACTGTAATATCGTAGAGAGAGAGAGAGAGAGAGAGAGAGAGAGAGAGAGAGAGAGAGAGTCTAACTCAATTTATCTCTCTTATCATACTGTCGACGAGCTTAACGAACACGACGACGTCGAAAACTGAAGTCCGTTAACTGTGTCGAGAATAACGTGAAGTCTAACATTTGCGCACCTCTTGACGCATAAGAAACACTGAAAGAAATTGTTCGATAAAAAATTAACAAATCGGATATTTCTAATCAAAATACTGATGAATTTTTATATTCGATCAGGAAATATCCGATGAGAAATACCGGTTCATAATTTTTTCATCGATTTATCTGACGAACGGCTATTATGATCGGAAGTATTCGATTAAATTCAATCGGATATTCTGATCAGATATAAAAATTCATCTGTATTTTGAAAACGGAAAATATCCGTTTGTTAATTGTTTATCGGATAATTTCTCTCAGTGTAGAATTGCGATTCAATCAATTATTCAGCCAACGGGATCCTTCAATTCACAAGTACACGCATATCCCATCTTTTGTGTGGCATTTGCCTCGTAGTAAAAATTATTTCAAAAATTCTTTGAATCAAAAAAGGAATGTGTCTCATTCTTGCACAGATTATTCTTCAATTAATTTTGCGACGTAAAACGGTCGAAATGCGCGAACTCAACGCGACGACGACAAAGTGAAAGAATATTATAATGAAATTACTTAGCAAATACGTTTTAATATTATTGTTATTACCAGTAAGAAACAAGGTTTTAATAGCATTTTCTTCTCGTTTCGACGCGTAAGTTAGACTTGAACGTTCACCGTCCTCTTAGACGATCGTGTGAAGACGATATCGAGCGAGCTGGGATCGACGATGAATACCGATCTTTCAGAAGTCGCGCGATTGTCTCACCTTAACAGGGTCGAATTTATATTACCAGTTGACCATAGTAGACTTATAGAATAGACTGCACACTCTTGCGGGACGGCTGACAACAAGATCAAAGGACAGATATATGCTAAGTCAAATCCCAGATAACAAGAGCTCTAAAAACGACGCATAAGATGACTTTAAGATGCCTTTTAATCATCTTTATGGTACATCTTTTAGAGGTATCATAAACATAACTAAAAGTCATCTTTGCGTCATTTTTAGAGCTCGTGCTATCTGGGATGCTTTCTCTGTCACACGGGGAAGGGTGTGATGTAGATTTGAAACATAGTGAAAGAAAGAGAGGACGCATTGATTGTGCGATCGCTTCTCCTCATTCGTTCTCTCCATCTACCAGACAATTAGACAAGGAAGGCATCCCACTTTCTATTGTTTTCTTTTACTGATGATTTTACTTTACTGATACTTTAATGAAACTTAATTCTTTCTGCAACAATGTGTAGTCTATTACACATGGCTACGCACTTAAAAGCAAGACGGCGATGAGAGCGATAGTCTTCGAAACACGTACTCATTGAATCCGCGATAAACATTGCCGTGGAAAAAAAAGAAAAAATGAAGAGAAACAAATTTCTCCAATTTTATATTTGTCTTTCAGCAAATTTTTATATTTGTTCGAACTTCATGTTTGATCCAATTCCGTGAAGCTAAAAATTTCACGAACCAAAGCGAATGGATGGGTGAGAAGCTCTGTATTATGGGTATATCACTGATACGATAAAACGATTCTCTAACAGCGCAATCGGAGACGGCCGTTTCGCGTTACAGCCGACCCCTTTCGTCGAGCACGCGCACATTATAACGAAATAAATCCGAAGAGGACCAAACGGGGTGCGGTCGCGCTGTGATTTACCTCGCCGATCGATCGTCGAGCCTCAAGCGCCAAGCTTTAAGTCCATATCACACTACGAATTGGAGATAGAGGATTGCGAATTGAAGAATGGAACTTGACTAATTGAAACAAAGCAAATCGAAGTTCGCTGATTCGTCGAAATCTAAAGTCTACAATTTTCAATTCTCCACCTCTAATCCGTAGTGTGACACAGGCTTTAGGGTCGTTGCGAGCGTGATTCCGCAATCGCTTGACTCGCAACGCGAATCGGAAACATCGCCTATTCTGTAACTTTTATGGACCTTCTACAATAAGCTATTAGTCATAAGTCGTAGGCAAGTTGATCAGCCACAGTCGATTATTGTTTAAAGTAATCAACTGCGATTGATCAATTTTCTTGTAACTTATAACTAATGGCTTATTGTAGAAGGCTCATTAATAACATTGTTATCGTTACGTTATCGTTGTGCAGATATAATACATGATAGAAAACGACACATCATGCTAGTGACATTGTCGTTAGGAAGTTACAGAATAGATCTACAGTAGACCTATTCTGTAACTTTTTAACAATAATGTCAGTAGCATGCCCAGTAAACAAGAAATCATTAATACAACGTTGCTACAAGTTGAACCTGTAATATTGTCAAATATGTAGTGTTTAATATTGTATCAAACATACTTTGACCGCCATTTGGAAGTTTCAATAATGTTGAAATAGGGTTGCTATAACGTTTTAATCGGCAGAAATATTTTTAAGATGTTGCATTGATCTCAAATAAATGTTAAAGTAACATTTGAAAAATATATTTTTTGTAATGTTTTTAAAACGTTTAAACAATATTCAGAAAAATCATATCACAAAATAACATGTGAAAAATATAAATGCAATATTATTAAAAAATGTCCAAACAATGTACACGAAGTCAACGTTTCTAAACGTTAATTTAATGTTCCTTGCTTACTGGGTGATGTCGTCGCACAGCTTTTTTACTATGCAGTATACCTGCGCAACGTAACGATAACGACACTGTCGTTAAAAGATACAGAATCGCACCACAGGCGGGCCAGGCGCAACGATACGAACATGAAGACGTGTTGACGAAGTAACGTGTTTGACCAATTTCCGAATATCTCGCCGTTTCTTTGTCGTGTGAGCACCGTATTCGTACTTCTTCGCACGCTACTTCGGAGAGCTGAGCGCGTTTTTTGTAATTACGGTTCTAAGTAGATATATGTAGATAGATTTAACGCAGGGTTGGGGCAAGTAACGCGTTACATGTAACGCCGTTGTCGTGACTCTTTTCGTTCCACTTGGTGCAATGACGTCATTTTTTTCTATCAGTGGTGGTAACGCATTTTTCGGATGATGACATAACGTATATGATTTCTCTCGTTACTCTCGTCGTTACTTTGCACACGTAGAATGCACGTATGTGGAACGGGTGGAAGCGAGTCTCCTGAGAGAAGAGCTCTTTAAGGCTTGGTGCAAAAGTAACGAAGATCTTTACGATTCGTTACTTCTTGAGTAATGATAACGGGCAACAGCAACGCGTTATTTTGCAAAAATAACTTCCTCAACCCTGATTTAATGTCTTGATCATAATGGAGTCGGCGCATTTGCGGAACCACCTTTGATCGAAACGACGACCTTCCACATTCTCTTGTCCGCTCGTTAATCGCTCATTGTCTAGATTTGCCGTATCAAGAGGATGCTGGAGTGGCCTGTCGAAGTACGATGGGCGATCAGCCCTCATTTAGAGAGAACATATTGATTTAACTGACCACGTCGTCTGCTACTGTCTAAAGAATACTTGGTTTGCTGTATAACACACACTTGTAGTATTTACTGCGCACAGATTTTACCGTATCTCCGATATATGCACACGATCTAACGTTCTGTCAACATTGTGAGCTCTATCGAACATTTGTGACGCGAGAGTAGCGATCAGCTCATTCGTCGTATTATACGCGGCACAAGAGGCGATTATTAATTTTTTTTATTATATAAAGGAAACTTCTATTGTACAATATTGTCTCGAAATATACATAAAAAGGAAAACGAATGTTAATTTAAAGTACTTCGTAAGTGAGATGCGTTTAAATTGCATTGCGCTACGTATGTATAAGTCTCTCGTAATTAAAGAATCGACGAGAACCTTACTTTGTAAGTCTTGAATGTATAATTTGCGCAATAAAGGGAACCCTGCAACGTGGGTTTTGTAAGAGTGAGGGGATTGGAAAGGAAAAACACACACTCTGACGAGTAAATAATACGCGTGTTATTCACGACTTCCTTCTTCTCCGTAATAAATAATTTGTACGGTATAATATATCTATACAAGATCCAGGTAGCAAGGTGACGTTTAAAGACGTCATTAAGTTAAAAAAGTTAAAATAATTTGAAAAATTATTGAAATATACAATATATAAAGAAAACCAAATTTTTTCACTTCATAACAGACATTTGTGTAAATAACATTATTAGGCTTATGCAAAAAGTTGGTCATTTCTATTAAATTCTCGTAAGAAGTTTGAATATGAAAAGAAAAATAAGAAGTCTCTTTGTTGTTTAACAAATACCGAGTCAACGTTGCTCACACTTTATCCATAAAAATGATAAAAATGAATCCTTCAAAATTGGATAATTTCCTCCTCTATTTTATTTGACAGATACGATTTTTTGTGCCGAGCTAGTAAAAAAAGAAATTTGTAATTGAGTCATTTATAAGCAACCGTCGAATCTCACAGATCGTAATGATGTCTTAATGACGTCTTTAGACGTCACCTTACTATCTGGAAAGTATCATAGAGAAATTCGCAAATATACCGAGGCAGCTCTGGCGCACGAGCTACGTCACAGTTTTATTCAAATATAAATCATAACTATCTATCGGTGCCGCGTTGACGGAAACCGACATTGCACAGTCTTACGAAGAGATAGTGGTAACATTAGAGTTCGTGTCCGAATTGCATTCGTTGTCGGTGCCTTGGAAGAGGTACCTAAAGTGCTGCACATACGGCTGACAGTGCTCACCCCTCGTGAAGGCTGTGGTGTTGTGCAGTCTCAGGTTCCGCTGTTCGAAGAACTTGAAGACCGAATGAAAGAGCGTCGCGTCGTCGATGGCTTTCGCCGCTTCTAGGAACTTTCTCGCGGACACTTGGTCCACCATCCCGACCGATCGAACGTATCTGAAACGTAGAGGGATCGCGTTGGTGCTTACGTATACACAAATAAACGTTTCGCGAATCGAAGTGGCAGCCTATCGGTTACCTCAACGCGGCCAAGATGTGTCCTTTCGACAAGAGCACTTCGATTATCTCCTCGTGTGCATTGCCGAGTCTTTTCAGCATGTCCAAGGCCAACTGGTGCGCTGCCGGATACAGGTTCTCCAAGGAAAGCAGCAGGCAGGCCAGAGGCTTTGAGTCAGAGACTACATGGTATTGCAGTAACTGGTGCAGCTGGTAATACGCCTTCCGATGTACTAGCGTCGTGATGACCAATTCGTGCAAGTAATGTTGCACGGGTATTCCGTGTTCAGCTAACGATCTGTGAGATTCGACAGTCGCTTATAAATAATGACTCGATTACAAATTTTCTTTTTTTACTAGCTCAGTACAAAAGGTCGTGTCTGTCAAATAAAATAGAGAAGGAAATTATCCAATTTTGAAGGATTAATCATTTTTACGGATAAAGTGCGAGCAATATTGACTCGGTATTTGTTAGACAACAAGGAGATTTCTTATTTTTCTTTTCATATTCAAACTTCTTACGAGAATTTAATAGAAAAATGACCAACTTTTTGCACAAGCCTAATGTTATTTACACGATTACACAGATGTCTGTCACGAAGTGAAACAATTTGGTTTTCTTTATATATTGTATATTTCAATAATTTTTCAAATTATTTTAATTTTTTTAACTAAAGTATTTTTGAATTTTGATGAAACCGTTAAACTGGACAAACATGGGAACGGTTAAACGGTTTTTACGAATGTAAAACCCGTTCTTTTCCGATTTCTTGTACTTCTTGTGACAAAAAAAAAGGCGTCGGTTATGAATGACCTCCTATTCATTATTGAGATACCGAAAATACTCATTCACCGTAAGAGTTAACGGTTACCTGATATATTCGAGCAGAACCCATATTATCATCTTTGGCTCTATCGCATCTTCGGGAAACTTAGATAATATGTGACTATACATGTCGCTCTGATCGAGTAACAGTTTATACTTAAAGTTTTCGGCTACTGATGTTACATTTTTTACATTATTCTGCAACGGCGTCCCCATCTGCGATTGATACACGAGAAATACATATAACATTCTGCTAACCACTACGGATAAAAAGTGGAATCTTATCTGGCATTACCTGGTTTTGTATCTCACTTTCTAGATAATTTCTGTACACGGAATTAAGCTTATCAAATATGGCCGGCATCTCCATCAAGCTTACAGGTAACTGCGTCATGAAGCCCTGCAGAACTTGTATCAATATCTGTTTAGCGTTCGCGCGTTGCATTAAAAATTCTATTAGCAGTACTTTATCTGTAATCAGTTTCACCAAAGCATCCAACCTAAGTTCGATGTACCTGTATTGATATAACAAACAAAAATTTTCGTATTGGTTGTTACAAAGTAGCCTCAAGAAATACTGCAGTTGAATAAACCTACCATAAACAACCCAGCTTGACGTCAATGATTATATTTGGTTGAAAAACAACCCAATTGGGAGAATCTATGTAATGTTAAGACTTAACATTGGAACCAATAGTATGAAAATCGTTGCTGCATACGGCTATCTTATATCTGTATCCATAAATATTAATCTACTTCCATATCAAAGGATACATAACTGACATGGTTGATACATCTGATCAGATAATGTTGCTCCTGGCACCTTAAGATTGTACGGTTTAATTGGTTTTGCCGTAGCCACGCTGGTATGATGCATTACCGTGCCATCACTTACGCCAGACAACATGATGTCAAATATCATGGATGTCTGTTAGAGATAATTTTTATTAAAGCGTGTTAAAATTAATTAGAATCAAATTGAATCAAATCTCATTATTATAGCTTTGTATTATGCATAATATATCTACCTTTGATGCTTGATGATGAACAATAATAAGATTGTCGACAACGTTTATAGCAAATCTGCCACTAACATCCAGTTTTAACATATGACTCTTTTTAATGGTCATCATTCTGCAAGGAAATGTAGTCACAACATTGCACAGATCGCTACATCAGATATTGAAAAAATGAGTCCTACTTGTGCACAGTGTAGACATATACAAATGCTGTTCCCATTGCGCGATTAGCTCCTGGCTGATGCCGTAATAGGATTATACAAGGTGTCCCATATAACACAGCCAAAGCTACATCTCTTTCAGAGATAGCCAGTTTTCCTGGTTTTGTTATACTATGTTCAACTGAAATAATAATATTATATAATTACATGCTTGTGATGATAAAGAAAAAGAAATTATATTGCATCTTGCTAACTTTCAAACTTGGTCAATTTGTGAAGATTGCCAGGTGTAACATGCAATGCCTGTATTTGATTGCCAACCGTGCCAGATGACAATAATACCAGATAACTTTTAGGACAGAATACAAACCAATTTACACCTAAACTTAAACACTTCACTGCCCTAATACTACGTTTTTCTGGATTAACCTAAAACAACAATGAGTTTAGTACATTTAAAATATATTTTTCTTGAGATCTTGTAATTGTCATCTTAAGTGCCTTATCCAGTATGACAATTTCTCACATGAAACAATTCTACTCCATGATCTGTAACCACTAATATCTCGGTGCCATGTGTCCAAACAAAACCCAATATCGTAGCATTCTTTCCTTTGCAAGACTGAGAATATTCGATGTTATCCAGGCCAGTGGTAGGGGAATAATTAACAAACTCCACTGAAGTGTTGGTGCGTTGAATTGCAAGTACATTCATATCAGTGGAAAATTTAATAGAAATTACTGGGCCCTTATCTTCCATTCGGAAACTTATGTTCTGGTCTGGGCCCTTAACGAGTACTCCTGTAACACCTCCTGAGCGAACAGCAAACACCTGTGCACAGAAGTGATGTTTGTCATGTTGTTGAAGAACAGGGTTCAGAAGATATTCATTCGCCGAGAAAATTGACTGACTTGTTGCTTGGAATCATCGAAAAATACATTCGTGAGGCTGCTGACTGATTCAAACCTGATGGGATCGGTGGACAACTCCAAGTAATAATCATCATTTTTTCCCTGATCGTCAACTTCCATGTTCGTTAACAGGTTCATTTCTTCTTTTTCTTTCTAGCTCGACTTTCCGTTCGGATGCAAAGTATGTATGTACATACACTAGCGTTTCTTTTAGTAATAATGACGAGTCGCTATCACATTTGAGGTTATACGGGATGTCTAACGCAAAATACGCCAACGCACGTGTGCAGGTAGATCAGGTCAAATTGAATAAAAAAGCCTTCTAACATTTTTCAAACAATCGCGTTAAATTTCAAGATATATTAATGGAAAAAGACTGGCAAACTAATGTGTGCAGTGTACTGTGGAACGGGCTTTTTCTCACTGAAAGTGATTAGGGCACGACTGCCTCTTAGCAACAGTGAGCGTGTTCAGCGGAAAAAGCGCTCAAGGTGCAAACCTATGAAGCGGAATAGCGGAGCGCGGAATGAGAGCAGAACCAATCATGAGCGGAAGCAATCACGAGCGAAAACTGTAGAACGCTTGTGATTGGTTCCTCTCATTCCGCGCTCCGCTATTCCGCTACATGGGTTTGCATTCTGAGGCGCGTTCGAAAACTTTAACCGGGTGCTTCTTCTCTCTTTTTATTTCACTCTTGCATCTTTCTCAATCCAACGCGAGTGTATCCGGATAGAGTTTTCGAACGCACGGCTGAGGATGCCATTACATGAAACGCGGAAATGCGGAAGACAAATTAATTTTTAACGGTATTTATTAAAATGTTTGCTAACAAGATAAACATATTAGTAAAAATTGCAGTAATTAAGTGAATACAATTTAAAAAAATAAATACAGATGTTTATTCGTCACCAAACCGTTCCGCTTTTCCGCGTAAATTGTGCTCTATTTAATATAAGGAAAAATAAAGTCGCGGAACAAGTGCATCAAAATCTATTGTCACAAGTTGTTCGACCTAACCGCTGTTACATTAAAACGTGTTCAAACACGTTTGGACTTGATATTTTTTTGGAATTCATACCTTGGGCCGGTATTCATAGTCGAATCTTATTTCAAGATCGTCTTAAGTAATGTCTTAAGATGCGAATATGGCTCTGTGATTGGTTCATGACATCTTAGGACAGTACTTAAGTTGATCTTAAATATAAGATCTGACTATGAATATCGGCCTTAGTATCTTGGATGAAAAGACGATAGAGAAAAGTTTTGGGCCTTCCGCTTTTTAAACGTGCGGGAAGAAATGATTCAATTCGCGGAACGCGGAAATCTAGTAAGATTTTGTCTTCTACATTTCCGTGCTTCATATAATGGCACCCTGACAGTTATGGCTCCTGTACATAGGACGCGGTAATGCTTGCCACGCGGCAGAAGTTCGTGCGACAGCCAATCAATATGCTGCTTTCCGTAATAACCTTCTAGCTCTTATGGAAAAACAACGTATTGATTGGTTGTCGCGTGGACTTCCGCCACGCGGCAAGCATTACCGCGTGCTGTGTGCAGAAGTCATTACTAATTCAGTAGTATTACTCAATAATGGGTCAAAGGCGCTTCTATTCTGTCTTGAAAAAGGCAAAAAATTCATAAGTAAAAATAATACTACAGGAAACAGAAGCACATTTTATAACTTAAAGTCTCTAATTTTTTAGTTATATTAATATATCACAATTTTTTCTTTATCTTTTTCGCTGATATATTGAATTAAATGAAAAGTGGTTACCTTGCAATTTCTAATTAGAAACTTTACATTTTAAGATATGCCTGGCATTATCTTATTATCAATATTTTTGCGAAAATTACAGCTCCTTAAATTGCGCTTGTTTATTATAAAAAAAAGCGATCTTTTAATATTTGTAAAACCACATTAATGACTTACAAGTTACAGGAACTTACAAATAGTAGGGCGCTGAGTCAGATGGACTTTATTTTATTTTATTTTATTTGTATATTGTTATATATCTAGAGAGATGTACACATTGAGAGTAAAAGAAATTTGTAGGACATTTTGACAAATGCTTTCATAAACGCACTAATTTTAAAAAATGCCCTGTATTACGTTAAAATTTACTTCTTCTTAAAAAAACTGGTAATACTCTTAGATCCTGCTGCCGCTCTTTGTTTGGTTAATTCCTTTTTACCAGGAGCAACACTTTTCTATAAGATAAAGAAAATAGAAATTTAAAAATTTGAGTTTTGTTTACAAAACATGATATATGATACAATTTTTATAGATTTTGTTTTACCCTCATCTATAATTGTGAAAAAAGGTAACAATATAGTGCATAGTTACACAATAAAAACAAACACACTGATAAATTTTATATACAGCACACATATATATTCGCAATTCGATGTTTATATTTACGATATTATTTGCCAAAGTGCAATACCTTTTCAGCCTTAGTTAATTCCTTCATCTTTGCTTTTGGTGCTGGGCTCTCTTTTAAGGAGTCTCTCTTTGGTCGTTTCTCATCAGCTTCAACTTTTGGACTACTTAACTTGCGCTTTTTACCATCCACTTCATCAGGTATGTTCATGTATTGCGCCAACTGCTTTGATAGATCCTCCGCAAGATATTCTGACACAATACCATGCGCATATCTCAAGTATTCTACAAGGAAATTTTCAGTAAATGCTTTGTACAAATTAATGTACAAATTGATGAACAAGTTGCTTGTAGCCTACAAAAATCAGTTTAAAGAGGTTTTGTTATATCTTATCAGTTACAACAGTTGTGGAGAAATTGTCAAATATTCAATCTTATTCAGATTATATAGATTTATGCATCTTATGGTATTAAAGTATATAATACCATTTTAAAATTATTTTTTCTCAAATATTCTTATCTTAAATCAATTGTATTTTCTTAATAATTCTTAATAAATTGTGATAGTTTCTTTAATTGTATTAATTTTATCCTCTCTTCTTACCTGCCTCTGTGCCAGTTTCAAATTTAGTACTCTTAACATAAGTAGCACTCATGGCCCCTTGGGACACATGAACTCCCTTCTGCTTCAACACATCTGCTACTCTTTCTACCTTTTTCTGCAGCCACTTTAACGACTTCTCCTCATTGAACTTGAAAGCTTGTAAGGATTCATCCCCTTTACGATCAGCGACTAATGATAGCTTGAGATTTTTGCATTGCGCGAGACGTGATGTCTCTGGATAATCCTCGTCCCAGAGACATTGTTCTAAAGGTTGTGCCAACTGTGACTGTAATAAGAATATTTGTCTTTTTCAATTGAATTCTTAAAGATGTTAATAACATTGGCCTGCAAAATTATAAGTCCAATGAATGACACAGGAATGTCATTTTGCAGGTCAGTGTAATCAGTAGCGTTGCACAAATTTTTATGATTACCTTTCTTAAGTACGGTAAAACTAAAAAGATAGGATCAATTGGTGTTGACAGATGTAACTTGCCATCAGACTTAACATTATCATCAACAAACCAGGATCGTTTGCTCTCATCAAACATTAATACCTCCTGGACTGTGATATTCCCAGGACTGAATACAAATATAGCTGGTTTACTAGAGGCTGGATGTCTAAGCTTTACAACCTCCGGCTGGCCATCGTCTGTATCGTCTAGATTATCTCCTGAAAGAAATACATTGCGTATACGCACGGCGCGCGTCTTGATTGACAGTTCAATTTGACAGCGCGCACCGATCATGGAAACCGGTGAAGAAGCGCTAAAAAATAATCAATACGCCGGGCGGTGGTGAAACGTTCATGATTGTTCGCGCTCACCCTTCATGAGGAACACCCACGTATTCGCCGACGGATGACAGTTCGCTGTCTTGACGCATTTTTGCGGCGAGCCCTTGGTGCGCGGCATTTTCCTCTTCGCGCTGCACCACTGCTGCGGCCGTGCCGCCGTTTATTGTAGGTTACTTTTTGGGCGGTTCAGCCGAATCCAACGAAATCGTTGCGTTTGCCGTATGTTTGCCGCGTGGACATTCAACGATCACTCATTCTTCGCGAGGAATTTGGGTCTTAGCTTTTTGAAACTGACATTTTTCGCGTACGCGTTCGACGCGAGACCGCCTCACGCGCGACATGTTGCGGAAAGCTCCCTCTCTCTTTCACTCTCTCTTTCCCTCTCTCTCAATGGCTACCTCTGAAATATAGACTGCGTTCAGCAGAGAAAGCTGCTTTGCAACTGTTATAAAATTCGTGAATCTGATTGGTACATGCTCTTGGATTTAACCAAAATTAAGAGCATACTCCAATCAGATTTACGAAAAACAACAGTTGCAAAGCAGCTTTCTCTGCTGAACGCAACCATATACTACCTAGAACGCGCGTTGCCTCTTGAGACGTGCAGGATGAGAGAGAGTTCCTTGTTTCTTTTCTTATCGTTGTCTGGTTCACAGTATAGTCGAGAGTGGGGAGAATGTGAAGGTGCAAATTCATGTAGCGAATAAATCGCTGCGATTGAAGGTCACGTAGTCATTCGCTAGCGAATAATCGCTGTTCGCTGAAATTTTTTAGCTTTTAGCGAATATTTGCTAATAGCATGTTCGATTGACTCTGAGTTAACCTACTCGGGGTTATTTATCCTACGTTTATTGGTCAAACAAGTACTTATAAGCTTTATGATTGGCTAGTAGAGATTTATGACGTTATTAATCGCTTTCGGAGCAATTAACCCAGGGCCAGTCGAACACGCTATTAGAGATAATGGGTGCTTTCCAGTTGCGTACTGTGTTACACAAAACCAGTTTATTGGTTGCATATTATCTTACAAGATATTTTAGATAATATGTGACCAATAAACTGGTTCTGTGTACATATATGTCAAGATATGTTAAGCAATTGAAAAGCACCCCTGGCCATTGAAATCAGTGGACGCTCTCATGCTTCTATCTGCTGCTGACGTATGTCACCACGCCGGTGATACAAAATCTCTGTTTGAGGTCAAATAAAAGAATCGCATGTAGTTCATGTAAATTTTATTTGTATTTTACTTGTAAAAAAGTTGGATGTTTACTTTCTAATTATCCAGCAAAAATGGGTACGTATCACGTGATTTTTATAAGTTATATGAAGACTTACAAGTTACTGGAGTGTCACATGAAAAAGTTTTGATAAATGCGTAATATAATTAAAAAACGCAACGTTTTGTTTATTTTCCTGAGCTCTTATCCTGAACTCTTTTTTTTTATTGATGAAAATACTTCTCTGAACATAACTGAAAGCCAATTCAGAAGACTTATAAGCCATATTGAGACATACTTTTACCTGTAAAAGAGGTTTTAGAATAAGAGATTGTGTTTTAATAATATTCCCCAAATTTTCCTATTCTAATATCTATCCTTATTTTTATAGCTGTCAATAGTGGAATATCATTTGTACTGTCATCAATATTGACTGTACTTCTGTTTTCTGGAATGCAAATGTACAAAGCATGGCTTAGTTCATCGCAGCTAGGAACTGTCTTGGGAGGATACATCGGTTCCTTGCTATTTATATGTACATTAACTGCTGTGGGAAATCTGGAAACTACTTTATTTGGAAAATCATTTCAGCAAAAGTTGTTTCCAGAAGGTACATATAGAAACAATATATTGTTTCAGTTGTATTTGTTCCACATTCTAAATTGTCTAACAATTAATGTATTTGTGTATATATATATATATATATATATATATATATATATATATATATATATATATATATATAGAGAGAGAGAGAGAGAGAGAGAGAGAGGAACTTTATGGACATATCACAAGTATTATACAAGTATTATACAAGGAATTAATGTGTTCTTAATCTCTGTTGCAGTGATTTTTTCATTGATACTAAGCCTGATTGCTTCTGCACTGATCCATCGTGTAGCAACAACGACGTGCTTCATATTTTCCATGATTGGTCTTTATTATGTAAATCGAATTTCTCAGGAAACATATAACATGCCTGTGCAAAATCCAGTAATAGTGCAATCAAAGAAACGCAAGTAAACAAGCATCGGGAGATTTAATCTTTAATAGATATAATCTTTTCACTATTATACCTATTAATAGTGTCCTATGTTCCAGTTTATAAGCAATTATAAAGCTTCCAGTTTATAATTTTTATATCTTGTAAAAACTGTTTATTTTATCTAGAATAAGGGCTATATCTTGATAATACGATAATTATGAAAATACAATGAATTCCAATTACCTCAAATGGTTATTGACACATGGAGCTTATATCATAATTTGTAATATCATAATTTGTAATACAAAAAAATAAAGAAAAATAGTTTTGCTCAATGAAATAAAACAGATTTAATACAATTATAAATTCAATATCATTAATTAACGATTTGAGTATAGTAAATCAATGTTATGATATTTACATCGCAATAAACAATACATGAGAATTATGAAAATATATTTATGATATTTGGGGCTTTTGTTTTCCTTTCTTCCTATGCTTTTCTGCTTCTTCTTTGTCACTAAAATATTCATAAGCCTCATCTGCGTGTTGCATATGAACTGAATCATTGGACTCATAATTGTCTAATATTTGTTTGACTGGCTCTCTGTTGGTGTTATGTTCCGGCATTACTTGTTTATAAATTGCCATAGCCTGTAAATAACGAAACGCTTTGATTAGATTCGTTACAATTCATTGATTACATTAGTTATTTTATTGTTGCAACGTGCGAACAATAAGCAGTTTATCAAGTGACAAACCTGTGCTACAAATGTCGACACATCTCCCACGTTGCTGGGTAATATTAACGTGTTATTGACTTTTGCTAATTTGTCGAATGCATGAACATATTGCTCCGCAATGCTGAGCGCGGCCGCATTTTTCGCGTCCGTTGCGCCGAGGGCACCCGCGACTAGTTGCAATCCCTTTGCTCGCGCTTCCGCCACTGCTACTACCGCCGCAGCCTCTCCAGTAGCCTTATTTATTTGTTCTTGCCTTGTAGCTTCTGCAAACAATATTACATGTTTGAGTAAATAAGCAAAACAAATATATAGTAACTTCTACACGCTTATTGATGAAAAATTATCGAGTGAGTGTGAACAGTGCAGCACCTGAAGCTAAGATTCGCGCGAGCCGTTTGCCCTCGGCCACATTAACTTCAGCCTCTCTGACACCTTCAGACTCCAATATAGCAGCACGTTTTTTACGTTCGGCTTCTACCTGCATCTGCATTGCCTCTTGAACTCTTTGTGGCAATTTTATATCACCTAATATACGCAGAAGCAAATTTGTTTAATTTAACAGTTTTTTAAGACAAATTTTTTTAAGGAAAAACTAAGAATTTTTTATCCTTAAAGATTGTTCCAAAAAGATCGTACAACGTAATATTAAATATCTGCATTGCTTTTTGAATTCTTTGTGGTAATCTTACAAATCACTTAAGTATGCAGGTACAAATTTTTGCTTTAAATATTTAAAAAGTATTTAAAAATTTTTTTAAGAAGAATTTAAGAATAATTATCTCTTTAAAAGAAAAGAATTTTAAGATTTTTAAGGGGATATTTGTTATCAAAAATTGTTTGAAGATTATATACAATGTAATAAATATGAAGCATTTTCACAACTTACGTATTTCATATCGCATGCATGTTAAACCCCAGGCTCCACTGGCCTTATTGATACTATCAACTATAGAAACATTTAATTCTTCCCTTTCCCTGAATACTTTATCCAATGATATCTTTCCTAGTTCAGATCTCATAGTAGTCTGGGCTATTTGAATAATAGCAAATTCTGCATCCTCAACACCATAAGATGCCAGGTAAGGATCTGTCACTCTCAAGTATAATACTGCGTCAATACTCAGAGTCACATTGTCTAGAAAAAAATATATAAATACAGAAATTGCAGAACATAAATGAATAATATATTTAGTACTTATATCAATTACCTGATGTAACTGCACTTTGTTGTGGTACATCTATGGCTAATTCCTTTAATATTTGTACATATTTAACTTTATCAATAATAGGAAGCAGTATGTTTAGACCAGGTTCTAAAATTTTATGAAACTTGCCCATTCGTTCTACGATCCATGCCTAAGATAATATTTTTCTTTATTGACTATTGTATTAATATATGATATTAATGGATTCTGAAGATTACATCAGAAATTTGTGCACAGCACATGTTTCACGAAAAAAATTAAATATGTTCTGTGATAGACAATCTCAAACCTGTTGTTGAGGCACGAACATTATGACAGTGTTTACTGGCGTTGACGGTATGTAACGAGAATTTTGAGTCACCGAACCGAACGTCTTATCTCCCATTCTCGTAAACGCATGGTTCTGCAAGGTATATAATTTGTGAGTTTTCGGGAAATTACATTTTTTTGTATCAAACATCTTACCCTTAGAAACCTAGAATTTCTCGCCAAGATCATCGTGCCACCAATTACTGCTCGTTTATACATTTTTTATTCTATTCAATTTACAAAAAATATAATACAGATTGACAGATTTTATTTTACAGGTTATATGATGATTACGACAAAAGCAATGCGACACTTTCGGAAGATAACCCGGTATTGCGAAGGAAGCATTCATGGATTAGAGGTCTGTTCTTTTTAGCTGAATTAGTGCTGGACTGAAACTTTGTTCCTTTTTTCTTCAACGCTTGGTTTATGTATACTTGTTTCACTTCGATTACAGAAAATACAACCTAGTTCAACTTAAAAAGAATAGATGAGAATAGATAAAAAAATACAAGTGCATCAAGTCAAGTCAGGAGCAATGACGTAGGTCACTTAATGAAGGATTCACACCGCGTCCGATGTGCGACGTACAATGTCCGATATCCAATAGGAGAACAGCTTTCTAATGGAGAATTGAATTCTCTATTAGAAAGCTGTTCTTTTATTGGATATCGGAAGTCATATGTCGGACATCGAACGCGGTGTGAATCCTGCATAACGCTAGGTGTACTCAGCCACATATTAAAGTTTAAAGTCAAGTGCATCAAGTTAACAAACTATAAATTTGTTTTTTATAGCTATGTCAAGATACACTTAGGCTGGGAGCACAGGCTTTTGCATAACGCATAACGCATAAGGGAATCAACCAATCAGAGATCTTTATTTCCCTCTCCAGGATAGAAATGAATGACTCTGATTGATTTCCTTATGTGTTATGCATTATGCGTTATGCAAAAGTCTGTGCTCAGGCCTTTATATTGAACATTTCGTGGAAGAGAAAAAAAATAGAAAGATTATCATGTAACTTAAGCCAGTATTTATAGTTGGATCTTATATTTAAGACCATCTTAAGTTTATCTTCAGATGTACGGATTATTTCATTGCCTATGGAATATCTAGAGATAAACTTAAAATTATTTTAATATAAAATCTGACTATGAATATGTCTCTAGAAAATGCTCTTGAATATAATATAATATAATAAACAGACCTATTTTAGGAATTTCCTCACAGGAAATCCATATCCCTATCCAATAACCAATAAACGAATCCGAATTCGCATAATTGAAATTTGTATTGCATGATTCATCGGGTGCGGTTCAATTGATATCGCAATGTTTCAAGGTGTTACATCATTCTCAATATGCAAAGCATGAGAAATAATAATTGCAACTATAAGTCCCGATCTACAATAGGTGATTTAAGCTCTAAGCTTTAAGAAATTGACCGATCACAATCACATTTGAAGAAAATAATCGATTGTGATTGCTCAATTTCTTAAGGCTTAAAGCTTACTTCATTGTAGATCGGACTAAATAAATTCAGGTTAGTTCTTGTCGACATATTCGTTGTGTTAAATGTTCCTATTTTATATTTACTTATATTTTATCAACTCAATTATTTTCCTTCTCGATTGCCTTATTATCTAAAATCACTGATTTCTATTTGGCAAATTTAATGTTTATAATGTAGGCATACACGAAAAGATCTGTATTTCTAAATATAATTAAATGCACAAAGATATGTGTAAATTATAAAAACACTATAAAATATATTAAATATACCTTTACAAAAAAAATACCTTTACGAAAATTTACTCAATTTTAGGTGTTAACACTCAAATTTAAGTGTTTATCCCTAGTTTTTGGGTATTTACATCCAAAATTGAGGGTTTTTTCGAATTTTTTTCGTAAGAGTATATCCAGTTCTTCCTCGTATTTCCACAAAAAAATACTCATTCTGTGGTGACACAGTGCGATGTTTTGACGAACAATTACAGACATAGGCCGATATTCATAATCAGATCTTATATTTAAGACCATCTTAACCCTTAAAAAAATACGAAAAAGTCCTCAATTTTGGGTGTAAACATCTAAAAACTGGGGATAAACATCTAAATTTGTGTGTTAACATGCAAAATTGAGGATTTTCTTGTATCTTTTTCGTAAGAGAAGAGCCAACATACAAGCACATCCATAATGTAACGTAACATGTTATGTTACGTTAAGTACTGATAATGCAATGACCATATCTGTACGTAAAATTAAAATTAAGTCAACGCACAAAGAAATCCGTAAACTTAACATGTTACGCATATTCTTGTGCGGAGGCTCTGAGTTCATCTTCAGATACTTCATAGCCAATGAAATGATTCGTACAGTATCTGAGGATAAACTTAAGCAATCTTAAATATAAGAATCGACTATGCGTTCAGGGAGACACTATTTGGCGCTAAAAGCGTGTTCTGTCCTTGTTCAACTTTCAGTAAGTAACAAGGGTTGCGTTCTGTTGTTTACTGCAAGTACTGTCAGCACTGTCAACAGCGTACCGAAATAGGTTACAGTGCACTGTGAAAGCACTTCGATGAGTTTGTGACGTCATGAATTTGATGTCACTTCCTGTTGCGGCTACTGCAGCCAGCGAAGTAAAGCAGTCACAGTACAAGATGAAGGACAGAACACGCTTTTAGCATCAAATAGCGTCTCCCCAAACGCAGCTTATGAATACCAGCCTTATTGCGTGTTGACCGACCCTCGGTTAATCGCTCCGAAAGTGATTATTGACGTTATAAGTCTCTACTAGTCAATCATAAAGCTTATAAATACTTGTTCGACCAATAAACATAGGCTGAATAACTCAGAGTAGGTTAACCCAGAGCCAGTCGAACGTGCTAATAGATTGTTGTTAGCAAAATTTGAATTCACTCTTCTCCGACAGGTGGCGCGTGTGGCTATACCCCCTCCAGCGAGATTCTTTTCCCGCTGATCGTTGACGATCGCGGTCTGTTGCTGTCTACCTATACACGTGAAGACTTGCCTTGTCATGCATCGGCGCCGGTGCGCGCCATCTTTGACGCCGCCAAAGAAGCGGCCGCATCGCTGTCACCGGATGCCCCATTTAGCCGCCCCTCTCGTTCTCTCTGAGGCGCATTTTCAATAAGAACACTGTGATCGTACGAGATGTGTTTTTTGAGTGTGTCAAGTGTGTGTCAAGTGTAATTTTTCGTGTGACAGTGAGACCCTCGTCGATCGCGAACGCCGGCGTAACGGACCGTCTTGCAGGTGAGCGATTCTTCTGCGTATATCGTGCGCTGTCGTGAGGTTGCCTTTCGCGCACGTAAAAAATACCACGTATAATTTGTGTGTGCATACGTATATCTATGTTCACGGCGTGTATGTACACATGTATAATCGCGCATATCTATATATATATATATATGTATGTATATAATGTCTACCTATGTATATATAGGAACGATAGTTGCTCACATATATATATATGTACATACACTCATCATACATGCATACATAAGCAGCCGTTGTACATATGTGCATATACGCGCGTCGATCGTGAAGCGAAGTTATGTCGAAGCGGAGCGTCGCGTACAGGAGCGACCTTAGAGGAAGTCGACTTATGTAAGATGACCGTGCGGAGAAGCCGTTTTACGTTTCCTACGCCGACGTGCCAGGCTACCATATTGCATTGGCGGCGTGCTCTCACACGACGAATATCGCTCTCTGTGCGTCCCTCCTCGTAATCTCGAGCGAAATACTCGGCCGCGCGACATCGTAGCGCGAAACGGCACGTCGCACTCGGACGGCCGTAGCCCGATGAAAATCGGAAATGCGAGAATAAACGCGCGATGCAGCGGCACGATCGATTGAGACGGATAAATTTAGAGAGCCGCGCGCTACCTGTTGTCGCCCTGCCGGTTGTTGTCCGACACAACTGATGTCCGCCCGAGCACGGACCTTGGCTTCCAAAGAGAAATGCATGTGTATATCGTACGAAACACACCTCGGAGGTGCGAATTCTCGCCGGATAAGCGGATTCGGACACGACCCCGTAGTCTTTGTAGGTGCATGGAACAGAAGAGAAAGTTCTAGGCGTGCGCGAACCTTAGTCCCGCGTATAGCGTTACCGTGTTTCTCGTAGCGAGCGAAATAACACTCAGGATTTTCGTTTTTAATCGCGGCGGTTTTGCAGCTGGCGAACTCACCTTTTTCTCTGCCACAGCTGCGCGTACAGAATTTGTAACGATTGCTTTTTTTCTTCTGATTTTCTTCTCTCATCCGAATGCCCGATGGAGTCATTCGGAGTCCTTCAGACTTCTCTAGTCGCCATTTCTGTCTCTCGTTGTTCAGGAGAAAAATCTCTCGTGATTTTTAATTGTTTCTAAAGTTTTTAAAGAGAATCATTTTGACTCTTTGTTTAATAGTCAGTGTTGTAAGGACAGTGTAAAGATTATTATTTGAGATTTTGTTTTTTTGATCCCGACTAAGTTTATATTTTATCCTATCTACATTCACCAGTTCTTTTATACTAATTATAGGGACAAAAGCAAATAATGATTATGATTTTTCAGCATGTCTTGCTGAAAATCATAAGTTTTGGAAACTTATGAAAATTATGATTTGTTTACAATATATAAAACTTTTATATTTTATTTATTATATTTTTAGTACATTCAGGAGTCATCATTGATACGAGTAATGAAAAACAGAGAAAGTTTTAAAATATTATGGTCACACGGAATTCAAATAACTTTCAGATATCTAAGAAAAACGTCAGTTCTGAGTACTTTAGCGTTATGAAAGCACAAAAACCTGTCCTGTTCCACCATTATCAAAATCCGACTTTGCCGACAAAGCCATATCGGTGCTTTAATTTCCTTCTTTTGTTTCTTTACGATCTTTGAACTCGGTGTAATCGATTGCGAGGCCTACTTTTGTCTAGATTGCCTTTTTGCCTGAAGTGCGAAGCATGTATATTTGCGTGAGGATAATTATCACACAATCTGGCACTGAAGGGAAAATGGGACGAAGTTCCAGTGGCAGCGGCTCGGCTGAAAAGAACAGACCCATGAGCTTCGCG